ATTGCAAGTAGATAAATAGATACCACTTCAGTGGGAAGGTAACAGCATTCCATGCACCTTGGTGTTTAGTCATGCCGGCCACATGACCACGGAAACGTCTTTGGACAGTGCTGGCTCTTCAGCTTTGAAACGGAGATGAGCACCGCAACCCTAGAGAAGAAGAAGAGAAGAAGAAGAGATCGGGATCTTATGCAATTCCGCAGGGCCTGTAAGACGGAGCTCTTCCACCAGGCTTTTATGTAGGGGCCGCCGCTTTTCCCACCACCACCAACGGTGGAATACCATCTAGACTGAGAATGCCTCGATGCCCCAGCGATAAGGTGATCCACGCGGCAGCAAGACCAGCTGACTGATTCGGACTAATTTCTGGATGAAAAACTTAGACCATCTTGGAACACTAATGCACTTTATTGTTAATGATACGTTATTGGTTGTTTTTGGATTTTATTGGATTTTATATATGGGCTTATGCCCCTGTAAGCCGCCCTGAGCCCACTTGTGGGGAGGGCGGGGTAGAAATACCTAAATAAATAAATTAAATTAAATAAATATTTGTGTGTGCATGCGTGCGTGCCTGTGCCTGGAAGTCATGGCGACTTCTGGCAACTCCCACTGGGGCACGGAGGATGTTCAGAGAAGTGGCTTGAGACTTCCGGTACGGCGCAACGACAGGAGGCTTTCGGCTCGCTCCGAGCTGCCCGACTCCTTTCCGTTTCTTTTGGAGTCTTCTGGCTGCCGGGAGAGCTCGACCAGTCCTCTCGGAGAGAGGGCTGGAGCAGGGGGCTTGTTTTTGGGGGGCCCCCTGCAACTGGCAATGCGGGGTGTGTGTGACCATTATTGCCCAGACGCAGCCATCCGTTTTTAACCACACTGGGAGCTAGGATTTATAAAAACTGCAGCAACACAGAGGAAGAAGTTTGCCCGTAGGATCCCTCCTTTCCCCCGCCCTCTTTCCTGCACAGAGTGTGAAAAAACAACAATCCTACAGCTCTCCCTGACATCTGTACACAGACATCTGGACTAATTCGTCTGCTTCCTTGCAAGCTGTGATTTTATACCGGGGGTGGTTGAGAATCCCAGCTTGTTGGGGTGGAGGACAGGCTTCAATTTGTCCAGATATGGTCTGAGTGGGGATTCAGCAACCTTGCAGAAGCAAAGCAGTAAAGGGCTGGTCAGTGCCCGGGTGGGAGATCTCCTGGGAATCGTGTCTGTGCTGCCTTTGATTTCAGGATGGAGGACGGACAACGTGTAAACGCAGTTAACAGTCTGAGGATGCTATCCGGAGATTTGAGGCATGTCTAGGGAATGAAGGGCCGTCTCCTTCCATATGTCCCTGCGTGCCAGGCTATATAGAACTAAATCATCTTGCTAGTTTTGTAAACGAGCGAGGACGGCTTAAAGGAGCCGCATGCATTATCTGGAATCCAACAGGAGACTTGATACAACTATATTACACTGCAAGATTTGAAAGTTGGCCAGGACTGCTTACGGGAGCCGCTATCATTATTCGGAATCCAACAGGTTTAGCACGATTGCATTATATTGCAAGCTGCGAAATTTGGCAAGGGCTACTTAAAGGAGTCGCGGGCATCATTTGGAACCCAACATGCATGTATTATTTACAGCAGCTCTAGAGACAGTCTGGGAATTGTGCTTTTCTTATAATATAAATAATTAGGCAAGAACTTTTTATATGATTTAAGACACTTTGTATGGGATATTTACTATGTTGTATTTATGTAAGTGGAGCTGCGGTGGCTCAAGTGGTTAAGACGCTGAACTGCAGGCTGTGGAAGGTCAGTAGTTCAGCAGTTCGAGACCCGGGTGCCACATGATGGAGTGAGCTCCCATCTCTAGTTCCAGCTCCTGCCAACCTAGCAATTCAAAAGCAAAAAATTGCAAGTGGGGGGGGGCGTACCACCAGGGGTCGTTTCGGGGGGGGGGAGAAGGCTGAACGGGGCTTGGATTACCTCTTTTTTGCAGTATTCGCTCCATAAGACGCACACACTTCCCCTCCCCACTTTTTTTTGGGGGGGAAAGTGCGTCTTATGGAGCGAAAAATACGGTAGTTTAATCTGGAGCCATCCTCCCTGAGCTAAGGCAAAAATGTGTGAGCCAAAGGCTAAAAAACTGTGAGCTAGCTCACACTAACTCAGCTTAGAGGGAACATAAGGCAGCCATCTATTGACTCTCCCACCATTTAGGGCGGCCCACTGGGCACTGACCAGAGCCCAGGACCTTCCCCATCATGGCTCCAGCTTTGTGGGATGGGCTCCCTGAAGATGTGCAAGCCCCCCCCTTCTTGGAGATCTTCAGGAGGCACTGCAAGACCTACCTGTTTGCCAGGGCTTTCGAGGGGGGTTGAATGGCAGGCATCCTTTAAAGGGGGAGGGGAGATTTGGGGTTTGCCAGTTTATTTTTGGTTTTAGCCGGGTCTGTTTTTAACTACTGTTAACCTCATCGGACCAAGAGGAAATGCGGCATATAAGCATTTTATAAGTAACACGTTTCACTTCCTATTAAACCTCCGGAGCGATTTATGGCCAGATTAGTACAGCCATTAACGTTTCCTTGGAAAGGGACTCTCCGGCTATTACGTTTTAGCGCTTACTTGATAGTGATCATTTTTGTTTCCCTGTTGGCAGAGGCCAGTTTCTGCATTTCTAAAAGGTTGGCTGCCCACTGGAATTTTTCTGAATTGATAAGCAGCACTGGCTGGTGAACTCGGTCATACACTTCATCGCTGAGGGGCAGCATCCACGCATCGAGGGCCACGCCACACCTGTAGGGAGAAGGGTGGACAGGGTGAAGCTGACATTTATTTATTTAGGAGGGTCACGTACGCCTTCAGAAAGTGCAGTACAATCCAGCTGGAAAGTGCCGTCAAGTCACAACTAGGGCGACCCTGTGGGTTTACAAGGCAGGATATGTTCAGAGGCGGATGCCTGCCTCTACATCACGACCCTGGTATTCCTTGGAGGTCTCCCATCCGAGTACTCACCAGGGCCGACCCAGCTTAGCTTCCAAGATCTGGCTAGCCTGAGCAATCCACCTCAGGGCTTACACCATCCGTCTACAGGCAGCAGCCAAGGAAGCCACAACAACATGACAGTCGACAGCACAGTCGAGAACAGAGGTGTCAGACTCATTTGTTACAAGGGCCGGATCTGACATAAATGTCACTTTGCCAGGCCGGGCCATGTGTGCAATAAAACCAGAGACAGAAACTGCATAAAGGACCAGGGGTCCTTTCCTGCAGGAGCGCACAGGAGCGGAGCTCCGGCAGTAAAGAGCCCGGGGGGCGGGCACATGCAACAAGCCCCACCCCCTGCTCCGAGCAGCTCTCAGTCAGAGCAAGAAGCAGCCAAGTAAGTTGCAGTCCCCCCCCCCGGCCGAAAACAGTCCAGTGGCACCTTTAAGACCAAGTTTTATTCAGGTACAAGCTCTCCCTCCTCTGCGAGGGCAGATCTGCGCGTTCCCCCCCGCCCCAAAAGCTAGCAATCCAAAACAGTCCAGTGGAGCCTGAGTGGTAGGTGTTGCCTTCTGAAACACTTCCGGTGATGTCAGGGGGTGTGGCATATGCAAATAAGTTATGCTAATGAGTTATGCTAATGAGCTCCTGCACCTCTTTTTGTACAAAATGACCCCTGTAAAGAACCGCAGCTGGTAAGCTCCAAGTTGGTGTATCCTCACTGCGAGGCCCCCGTGGGCTGGGAGGGGGGTGGGGTGCAGAGGAAAACAGCAAATGCTCCCACAATGCTTGACTGCTGCAGACAAGGTTGTTCTGCTGTGCTAAAGCCACAATAGAGTGGCTTCGCCCACTCTCCCCCAGTACTCCCCACCGGTGTACCAGTTGCTTGTGGGCCGCATAAGAGCCCTGGATGGGCCAGTTCTGGCCCCTGGGCCTCATGTTTGACACCTCTGGTCTAGAACGAGCTGACGGCAATCTTGTGCACCATCGGGGGTTGTTTTTAATGTGCTGAGTATTTTAAGGTTGATTTGTACTATGATTTTAACATTGTTATGATGTACTTTATCTTCCAATTCAATCACCTTTATTGGCATTAAAGCTTTAAAAAAGATGACAGTACAAATCAGCCCCTGTGCCAACAGACAGAAGCAATCAAAGTACAGTGATTTGTATCATTGTATATATTAGTAATAATAGGAGAAAGCAGGGCTATTTTTGGGCAGGAACGCACAGGAACGGAGTTCTGGCTGGCTCCCAAGTTGGCCACGCCCATCAAGAACTCATTAGCATAATAGGCCACACCCAACAGCAGAAACTCATTAGGATTGGCTACATTAGGGGTGTGTGGCCTAACATGCAAAGGAGTTCCTGCTACAAAAAAATGGGTTTTGACAACAAACAAGGTAAACAGAATAACAAGCAAAAGGTGGGTGTGGCTGGATAACCACACTTCTGGTAACATGGGGGTGTGGCCTAATGTGGTAATGAGCTGTGCTGTCAGGGGTGTGGACTAATATGCTAATGAGTTCCTGCTGTTGGGTGTGGCCTATTATATTAATGAGTTCCTGCTGGGTTTTTTCTACAAAAAGAGCCCTGGGAGAAAGTAATAAAATTCGGAACAGTAGTCGCAAGTAATTAAAACTGTTGCAATAAGGAACTTAACTATCCTAAAAGGAATCATAGATACACCTTCTCTCTCTCTCACTCGTCTCTCTCTCTCTCTCTCCTAATCTCTCCGCCTCCTTTCCTCTTCCCTCTTTTCTTTCCTCTTTTCCTTGGTCCCTGAGTATATCTGCCAGGAACTCTGCCACCTGCTCAGTAACTCCGGGGGTTTTGTCCGCTAGCAGGAATTCAGTATCTCTGGTCGAATCTGCATTTGCATTTTTAAATTAGTTTCATGCTGCTGTGACACGGTCTTTCTCTATGGTTTTTTTAATATATAGTTTTATTTTTCATTTTTTCCAATTATTTACAAACTTTCCTTCTCCGAATTCCAATAACTCTTTTATACATTTCAATCTGGATTTCCCCATACTTCGTGAATCCATTTATAAACTCTCTCCCATCTTTTATTAAACACACTTCTGTCTTTCCCTTGAAGGCTTATCGTTAGTTTATCCATTTCTGCAACATCCATCAATTTAATTATTATTTCCTCTCTTGTTGGCAATCTATCTCCTTTCCGATATCTTTCTCTATGTTTGTTTGAATGTTGTTTGGAGAAGATTCTTTTAAAGCAGTGCAGAGGTGCAATGACAGTGGAGCCGCCCCGAAAGGACGATAAAACATGTGGACGTGCAAAAGTATGCTAGCACTCTTGAGGTGTGAAAACGACACCAAATGTAGACAGCTTTTTTGAAGACGGAGTCAAAAGGCTGGGACACCGGTGGGAAAGACAAATGCAGATTCAGCCTCTGTTGGTTGTAGCCTTAGAGAGTTGAAGGAGAGGGTTAATCAGGTGTAAATGAAGCTGAGTAAACAGCGGGCAGTTTAAGAGGCCTTTTGGCTAAGATCAAGTGTAGTGTAGTACTTTATCTTATCGTTCTTCATCGTTCAGATCCCTGTGAACTCAGGGACTGGGCGATCTATAAATCTAAAGCACAAATAAATAATAAATAAAAAGGAGCGTAAAACAGGTGGGATAAGGGACAAGACTGTGAACGACAGCCACCTGAACAATATGCTACTGCTTCCTCTGAAAAGCTAGGTAAACAGATGTTTTAGCTTGGTGCGGATATGGTGTCAACCAATGACCAGCCGAGTCACACGTTACCGAATCAAGACCTTTCATCAAGGAGCTTTAATCAGATTAAAGGAAAGAATCTTATCTGACTACCGTTGTAAGGACTTTGAATCAGACACGTGACCGGATCTCTGTGCCGGAAACTCAGTTGCTGGGGCACAGAGATCTGAATCAGCACCGGAAGAAAGGATGCTTCAGCATCCCCTCAGGCTGTTTTCCTGACCCAATATACATGGCTATGAAATCTCCCATCAAGTTCTGCCTGCATTCACCTGCTTGGCTTTCTGCTCTCTCTCCTTCCAAAAGCAAGACACATCTTTTATAACAGTGCCCCAACTGGTATAAATGAATGTTGACATGAATGCAAGAGAGAGAGAGAAAAACACACACGCGGTATGCGGGGATAATGGTTCTTACTTGAATCGTGTGTCTTTGCTAAGGGTCTCAATGGCTGTAGCCGCCCCAAAAGAATGCCCCATCACCGCTATCCTGTGACCGTCAATGGAGTCCTGGAAAGACAGAAAGATACCGTAAAGGGCCAAATCCGAGCACTGCTGCAGACACTTGAGTCACAGGTCCAATCTGCATTGGTATTTCCCACCGTTGTGCCAGTGATCTCACATCCTCTCACAAGTTACTGTCTGCATGTCATGCCGCATCCACTCTCCTATTGTTGCATCTCAGCATGGGGTGTCTGCATCATTGTATTGCCATTTAGTGATCACTCCGAGGTCGCTACGGCGGCGTCTCACCGCCTTATCTGAATGTGGTTTTAAGGTGGCACAACTGCTCCTCCCCACCGTCGAGCCGCTGTGAGCAGAAAGCAGACAACTGGAGCCGGATTCTCCCCCCCACCCATCTTTTCTAAGGAGATACGCAAATTGTCATAAAGGAAACAAGTTCGCTGGGAACCCAGTCGTCTGCGTTTAAAAGCAGCCAGGAAACATTTTTCTGTGATCATATTCTGGGGGGCGGGTTGGAAGCACGCCCACCTCTGAACTATTTGTTATTTCCTGGGGCAATCCCCAGAATGCTCTGCCTGACAACTTCTGGGTGTTTTTGTGTTTTTTACCCAGCTTGTTCCATCTTTTCTGCCCTCCCTCTCCCTCTGCCTTTTTACTTTCTGTGGGGGAGGGTCGCAGGTGCCGTTTCCTACCCCTGCAGCGCAGTGCAGTGCCCTGCCGGTGCCCCTGGGAGACCGCTCCTCTCCCCTCTCTCTCGCACTCTCCCTAAACAGCTCACGCCCTGATGCAGGCAGAGGAGAGCTTTCTATTGAGCCAAACAGGCAGCCGGCGCCACAGCAGAACGGAACAGCTTTACATAGCAAATGCAGATTGGGCCACATTTCTGCACAGACTTAAGCGCCCTCACGCTACTGAAGCCGATGGGTTTCAGCCAGCATAACTCAAGTGCTGGGTTGTGGCCAGGCCGTGTCTGTTCCTACTACAGCTTCCATAGTTAATATGAAGACGCCATTCATTTCTGAGTCAGGGATTTTTTAAAAGTTGTGATTTATAGTAAAGGGTACTAACTGAAAACGGCAGGCTTGTGTCGAGTTCTGCTTTCTTGCTCTGGAACATGAGGCTCGTCCTGACCCGAGTGGACCAAGCGAGGTGGACCTCGTCAGATCTCAAAAGCTAAGCAGGGTTGAGCCTGGTTAGTGCTTGGATGGGAGACAGAGGTCACTACTAGAGATGTGAAGGCCCGGAAAAAACCCGGAAAAATTCGGGGGGGGGGGGAACGGAAAAATTGGAAAAATTGAAGAAGAAAAAATTGATTATGGAACGTTTTATTTTAACATTATGAATAAAATATTTTAAGACCAGGTGTTCAAATATTCTCCAAATCATTTCTAAAATATATATATATGGTATCAGATTGATGTAATTTCTGCGCACTGAGGACAAGCAAGTCCTAGGTTACAAACTGAACTCTCCAATGCAAGAACAAGATGCATTTCTTCATTTAGGAGGTGCGATTGTCAGAAGAAAAAAAAGTTTCAGTTTTGTTTTTGCATGTGGGTGGGTATTCTGTTTGTAATAATTGTTTGGATACACTATATTTTTAATATGCTAGTTGTGATAATTTCATGCCAAGTAAAAATGTCCATAGTCATATTTTATGTTCCTAAAGTAACAGAATGACTTTCAAACTAGAAAAGACAAAAGAAATGCTAATGTTGCATTTTTTCAATTTTTCCGAAAATTTCAGTTTCCCCCCGAAAAAAACCGGGTTTTTTTCCGAGCTTCAAAATTTCCGGAAATTTTACATCTCTAGTCACTACACAGAGGCAGGCAACAGCCAGCCACCTCTGCCCTGACCTGGATGGCCTAGACTAGCCTGACCTCATCAGATCTCGGAAGCTAAGCAGGGTTGCGCCTGGGCTGAGACCAGCCAGGTCAGGGCTCGTGGTACCCCATGGCAGGAGAGAGAGGAAAAATTAAGATGAGCCCCACAAGCAACGGCCGCCCTACTCTACGCTGGAGAGCTGTCGCTGAGCTCAGTAGAATCTCTCCTGGTCGCCCCTTCACAAGTCCAAGGAGGAATCGGCTATCTTTTTTTTACCTTGACACGGGTCCAATCAAAATTCAGCGGCAGCAAGTTCTCCGCTTGCTTTCCGGAGCCAATGCCCAGCAAGAGGTCAAGGGCTCGGGTGCACTCCTCGGCCCTCTGCTGCACCTGCGCAAAGGAAAGACATCGGCTGTGAGGAGCCTTCCTGAGCCGAGGCGGGGAGGCTCCCGTTGAGCAAGTGAGGCCAACTGGCTCGGCTCCCGTGGCTCGTGGTCCGTGGGCTGCAGGCGCCAAAGGTCACAGGTCTTTCCTGGGCTCCTTCCACCCCCTCTCGCAGCCGTCTCTGTGACCCGGAACTAGTAGCCAGGGAGGTCGAGAGGGTGTCGTGGGAAATGAGGAAAAGGGCAGATTCGCTTTCTCTTTTTCAGGTCAGTGGAGCTGTGCAGAAGGAAGAGACAGGGAAGGTGGTTTCATCCCCTTCCCCCCTTCCCCACTGCACACTCTCTCCTTGTGGAGCCAGTGTGGCAAAGTGAGGTCGAGTGCAGTGTTCCCTCTAAGCTGAGTTAGTGTGAGCGAGCCCATGGTTCTTTAGCCTCCAGCTCACACATTTTTTGTCTTCGCTCAGGAAGGCTGGCTCCAGAGCAGACTAATTTATGCAGTTGCCAAATCGCTCGCTCACAACTTTAATGCCAGCAGCTCACAGAGTAGGATTTTTGCTCACAAGACTCCACAGCTTAGAGCAGGGGTGTCAAACATGCAGCCCGGGGGCCGCATCACGCCCCAAGAGGGCTTCCATCAGGCCTGCAGTGGAACTGGCCATCTCCTGCTTTCAGTTCTGCTGCTGCTGCTGCATCATAGCTTGCTTTGCCAGACTCTCTTAATCACTCAGCCATTTCATGTTTTAACCCGGGGTCCTAGACTCAGAAGAACTCTGAGCATTTCTGTGGTGAATATTGATAAAAAGTAGGTTTGCAGCTTACAGAGCTGATGTTTCAAGCATGTTTTTATTTTAAGTTTAAAAAGCCCCTTTGTGTTTGTGTCCTTTATATAGTTTATCTCTCTGCTACCTGGCGTTACATGCGTGTGACATAAAGTTTATCTCTCTGCTACCTGGCATTACATTTTATGACATGCGTGGCCCGGCCCGACAAAGTCTCATTTATGTCATTTATGCCCTCGTAACAAATGAGTTCGACACCCTGGCTTAGAGGGAGCATTGGTCAAGTGTTGGGCTAGGATCTGGGAGATCCAGGTTCGAATCCTCACTCGTGCCTCGGAAGCTCGCTGGGTGACCTTGGGCCAGTCACACGGAGGCTAATGCACCTCACAAGAGTGTTGCGAGGATAAAACGGAGGAGAAGGGGACAATGGAGGTCGCTTTGGGTCTCTCCATGGGGAAGAAAGGTAGAGTACAAATGAAGTAAATGGCTAGTCTGCACAGCGGACTAAATAATTAGTCCCGGTAGCCCAGGACTCCTGGGGAGAGGAGAACGCAAGAAAGGTCCGAGGCAGGCAGTGCTATCTGCTGAGGGACCACTGGTGGTCTGCAGTGCGTCAAAAAAGAGCAAAATCTCTTTGGCCAGATACGTTCATGGGGGAAAAGGAAACAGGCACGGACACTGTGCACCATGACGGTTCCATCCTAGCTTTCACACCGCTTCAGGTCCTAGTCTGAAGGTCAAAGAGCCTGGCGATCCAGAGAAAGAAAGAATCACATGACGTCCAAAATCTAGCCCCGTAGCTAGGGAATTTTTTTGGGAGGGGGCCTCGGGGGGCCCACCAGCTAATTAAATGAAAGCACAGTGCAGGTGGTAAGTTGGAGGACTTTGGGGGCAGCCCAGGAGGGAGGGGGCCCAGAAGAAACACTAGGGGGCCGGGCCCCATGGGCCCCATGTTAGCTACGGGCCAGCTAGGAGGTCTCCTCTCTCCTCTTCCCCCACCCCAACAAGGTTCTCTCTAGATCAGGGGCGGCCAACCTTGATTAACCTAAGAGCCCACATAGAATAAACATCACATGTCTGAGAGCCGCATGACGTGAACAAATATCACAGACGGGTTTTTATTGGAAAATATGCAGATTTGCGTTTTATTAACGTTAAATGAAACTGCCAAAAGGGATAAAAATAGATACTGGTGATGATATTTATTTGTCCAATGATATTTGTAGGCTGGCTGGGGGGGGGGCCTTTGTGGACGTATTTAAAGTTAAAGTTGCTTTCTTTCTCTGCTCCCGCTCATCTCAAGCCTACCCAGGAAGGGTAACACTGGCTTGGGAAGGGAAGACCGGTCAGAGTGGCACGCCTCCCCTTCACTTCCCCAGCTGCCCAGCCGGGAGCCACGCAATATGTGTGAAAGAGCCGCATGTGGCTCCCGAGCCACCCCTGGCCTAGATTTAAAGATTTTTCAGGGCCTCCTCAAATACCTGTTTCCGACGAAGAGCAGTATCCTCTTCACTTGGTTTTGACTTCCTGTAATACATCCATTCCTCCTGCAATTCTGCAGCTGCTCCTTTTACTTCTGGCGAAGGCTTCTCCTTATAGTAATACGTCGCTGAAGCGGACTGGTCTCTAACAGAAAGAAAAAACGCCGTTTCAAAATCCTTAGGCTTCTCTTTTGAGACATCGACACCGTTAAGGTCTGTACGATGCTGTCTAAAGTTCTGATGGGCATCCTTAACTTTCACATTCATAGATCCAGGCAGGTAACCATGTTGGTTTGAAGTGGCAGAACACAGTCTTGAGTCCGGCGGCACCTTCGAGACCAACAAAGTTTTATTCAAGGTTCCTCAGACACATCGCACAACTTCCTCAGACACATCGGAAAAAGTGTCTCAAAGGTGCCACTGGACTCCAAGTTTCTTCTTCTGCATTCATAGTTTTGCCTCAGGATATAGAAAGGAAGTACTTCTTCACCCAAAGAGTGATTAACGCTTGGAATTCACTGCCACAGGAAGTGGTGGAGGCTACAAGCATGGACGGCTTCAAAAGGGAATTAGATAAGCATATGGAGCAGAGGTCCATCAGTGGCCATTAGCCACAAGGTATAGATAGGGTCTCTGGGGCAAGTGATGCTCTGTCTTCTTGGTGCTTGGGGGGGCCAACAGTGCGAGGGCTTCTAATGTCCTGGCCCCACTGGTGGACCTCCTGATGGCACCTGGTATTTCTAGCCACTGTGTGATACAGAGTGGTGGACTGGATGGGCCTTTGGCCTGATCCAACATTGGCGTCTCTTACGTTCTTATGTAATGGTGAAGAAAAGATGTACCAGGAATGGTACACAGTATTAACCATAATCCTCCATCTCCCCACCAGCTTACTCAATACAAAGTGTACTTTCCACCACTGACACTACAGCCAGTCCGGCACAGCCATGAAAAACTTCATCCTTTGAAACAAACAGGCATAAAGAAGCCTATCAGGAGCTATGTATCCATGCTTCCTCTAAGCTGTGGAGTCCTGTGAGCAAAAATCCTACTTTGTGAGCTACTGGCCTTAAAGTTGTGAGCGAGCGATTTGGCTGCTGCAGAGATTAGTTTGCTCTGGAGCCATCCTTCCAGAGCCAAGACAAAAATATGTGAGCCGGAGGCTAAAAAACTGAGCTAGCTCACACTCACTCAGCTTAGAGGGATTGTATGGGTTTGTCGGGGGCTTCTTCCCTTACCGGAATTTTCTGTGTAGAATACCCAGAGGCAATGGAAGCAAAATGTCCAGTCCTTCAGTAGTGTTATGTATTGCCTATACATAAACAGCGTTCCGTGCGCCTTGGTGTTTAGTCATGCCGGCCACATGACCACGGAAACGTCTTCGGACAGCGCTGGCTCTTCGGCTTTGAAACGGAGATGAGCACCGCAACCCTAGAGTCGGACTCGACTGGCTTTCGAGCAAGGGAACCTTTACCTTTACCTTATACATAAATAAGCTGAGCTTGAATTACACTCCTATCCATCTCTGGTATTGTAAATAGGGAAACCTGATTGGCTTCTCTGCTTAGATGACCAATCAGGACACTAGAAGAGTTCTGGAGGGAAATGAACCTATTGGCTGTTCTGTTACTGTTTTGGTTGGTTATTACTGTTACACGGGGGCGTGGCTATGTCAGCCCGCACAGTTTAAAAGAGAGCCTTCTTGCTCTCATGTTTGTGTTCGTTCCTACCTTGTTGAATAAAGCTGAATCACTTATTAAGAGCTGTTGCCTTAAGTCTCGTACTTAACAAGTAGCTTATGACTTATAGCTCGTGACCAGTGTTCCCTGTAAGCTGAGTTATGTGTTTGTACATTCTGTTGGGTTATGACCACTAACCCATCTTTGTTCTGTAATGAATGTCATATACAGTTTTGATCATGTATAGTTGTGAATTGTTGATGGTCTTCCCTTGGTGGGTGTTATTTGTGGTGCAACCTGGAGGTTGGCAGCTCTAGTGCAGCACCCCCACGTGACCGTTTAGCTTAGAGCACTCAAAAAACCCCAGCTGGCTAGGGTTACCAGTAGTGTTTCCTCTAAGCTGAGTTAGTGTGAGCTAGCTCACAGCTTTTCAGCCTCCTGCTCACAGATTTTTGTCTTCGCTCAGGAAGGATGACTCCGGAGCCAACTAATTTATGCAGTAGCCAAATTGCTCACTCACAAAGTTCATGCCAGTAGCTCACAGAGTAGAATTTTTGCTCACAAGATTCCACAGCTTAGAGGGAACATTGCTCGTGACTCAAGGGAGTCAATAGTCCAGTGCAGGGGTTGCCAACATGGTGCCCACAGGCCCCACAGCATCCACCAACCCCTTTCCTGGGACCTGTCAAATGCTTTTCAAAAGTGGGCGGAGCTAAGTGGGGCTTTGCCCAAGAGGGCTTCTGACTGGCTGCATAGATTAAAACAGAAAACCAAACCGGGATCACCGCGTAAAACCTCCCAAACAAGTATCCACTGTGATTTATGGCTCTATGTTTTATGAGAGAACATTTTGTCAGCAAGTATTAGAGCAGGCTTTGGATTAAGGAAAGGCTAATGGACTGGCTTGCTTCCTATGTAAAAGCTTGAGTAATAAATAAGAGGGAGATAACTTCTGGGGAAGACCTACTAAGAATAATTTCTGAGGAAGATCAACTACGAAACGGGCTGACATCTAGAATGCTCGTCATGTAGTACAACTTATCACGGAAGCTGTTCTACAATATCAGAGGGATGGGACTTTTCTAGATGTGTGATGCAGGATCACATTATTAGTTGCAATATTTTCCCGCCATCTGTGTACTATGTAAGGCCCATATGTACTTTTATTAACTGTAAAACGTAGTAGCCATAAATCAGTGGCTGCTTGTTTTTGCATACATTAAAAGACATCCTGTTAAAACAGAGCTTCTACCTGATTCTTGATTCCTTATATTTTGTGGCTGGCTCCGCCTCACACAGCAGCTATTTTTGTGATTGGCTCCACCTGTTACGGCGGCCATTTTGTAATCGTGCCCACTGCCCTGTTGCAGAATTCCTAAGATGCTCGAAAGCTCAAAAAAGACCCCTGTTCAGTGACGTTCCATTACCTGGATCCTGCCTAGATTTTTGTGGGCTCGATGGGATGGGGGGTTTTTTTTGGTGCCAATTTCCCTATCCTGTGAGAGACCTTGGATTCCCTTCATAACTGTTCCTGGAGGTCCCCTACCCCTAAGGAGCAGCATTTCAGGGGGCACTTTGGGAAGAAGAAGAGATTGGATTTATACTCTGCCCTTCACTACCTGAAGGAGTCTCAGAGCAGCTGACAATCTCCTCCCCCCACAACAGACACCCTGTGAGGTAGGTGGGCCTGAGAGAACTCTGAGAGAACTGCTCCTGAGAGAACAGATCTGAGAGAACTTGTAACTGACCCAAGGTCACACCAGGAGCTGCATGTGGAGAAATGGGGAATCAAACCCGGTTCTCCCAGAGCCAGTTTGGTGTAATATTTAGGAGTGTGGATTCTAATCTGGGAGAACCAGGTTTGATTCTTCAGTCCTCCACATGCAGTTGCTGGTGTGACCTTGGGTCAGTCATAAGTTCTTTCAGAGCTGTTCTTTTAGGAGCAGTCCTCGAAAGAGCTCTCTCAGCCCAACCTACCTCCCAGGGTGTCTATTGTGGGGAGGGGAAGGGAAAGGGATTGTAAGCCCCTCTGAGACTCCTTCGGGTAGTGAAGGGCAGGGTATAAATCCAATCTCTTCGCTTCTTCTTCCCCCAGATTAGAGTCTGCACTCCTAACCATGACACCAAATGGGCTGCCGTAGGAGGGAGAAATCAGCAGAAATCCCACCCCGACCCTAACATAAACGCCTTATTTTGAACCATATACTTCCACGAGAACCAACCATTCCCAAACACTTTTTGGTGAAGAAACATCACACCGGTTGCAACCCAAAGCAAGCAACGTAGTGAAAGTAAAGCCCGTATTGGTTCTCCATTTCTAGTTCATCCATCTTCCTCATTTCAAGGATGCAGACAGAAATCAGCCCGCCTCCCGTGAAACGACTTTTTGTCCCAACCGATACAAAAAGTGTTTGTACCTGTGCTCAACAGACGCAACGACAAATCCCCGAGAAGCCATTTCAATGCAGATCGTTGAATAGAGGGTTCTGTTGGAACAAACGTGACAGGAATTAGATCCCTGTAGGCTGGATCGTGGTCACAAGCTATCTGGTATGCTACATCTCATTTAAAACAGTACATATTTTTGGGAAAAACACCTCCTCTCTTTCTTTTGTTGCTTCGACAACGATCTGCACAGGCATGACCGGTTCTGCATTCGTTGTGCCATGCACTCAGTCCCCTGTTAGAGCCAGTTTGGCAGAACGGTTGAGTGCGCGGATTCTAATCTAGGAGAACCAGGTTTGATTCTTCAGTCCTCCACATGCAGCTGCTGATGTGACCTTGGGTCAGTCACAAGTTCTTCCAGAGCTCTTCTCTCAAGGACAGTTCTCGGGAGAGCTCTCTCAGCCCCACCTACCTCACAGGGTGTCTGTTGTGGGGAGAGGAAGGGAAAGGAGCTTGTAAGCCACTCCAAGACTTCGTTGGGTAGTGAAGTTGTTCAGCCGCACAGTCGAGTCCGACTCTTCGCGACCCCATGGACCAGCTCCCGCCAGGCCTTCCGGTCTTCCGCCATCCTGTGACGTTTGCTCAACTTCATGTTCATTGCATCTATGACACTGTCTAACTATCTCATCCTTTGCCGTCCCCGTCTTCTTTAACCTTCAATCTTTCCCAGCATCGGGGTCTTCTCCAGTGAGTGCTCCCTTCTCATTGGGTGGCCAAAGTATTTGAGCTTCAGTTTCATTATCTGGCCTTCCAGGGAACAGTCAGGGTTGATTTCTTTTAGGATTGACTGATTTGATCTTCTTGTAGTCCAAGGGACTCTCAAGAGTCTTCTCCAGCACCATAGTTCAAAAGAATCTATTCTTCGGCGCTCGGCCTTCCTTATAGTCCAACTCTCGCAGCCATACATGACTACTGGGAATACCATTGCTTTGACCATGCAGACTTTTGTTGGCAGGGTGATGTCTCTACTTTTTATCAAGCTGTTTAGGTTCGCTGGGTATAAATCCAATCTCTTCTTCTTCTATCACGAGCAGTTTCTGTGTGATGTATTCAATAGCTGCCATTGTAATACATGACTGTATGTGAAGCACCTAATTGAAGTTCCATCTCAAGCTTCATCCTGGGCTAGGATCCTAATCCCTCCAATCCTATTGGTAGCCCAGGAAGAACCAACCAATCATGTGCCATCAAGCTCCCTGAGCGGGAACGTCTGTGATTGGACTTTATGTATACAATCTTATTGGTTGGTATTGTATAGTAGGGCGTGGCTACATTAGCCGGGAGAGTTTAAAAGTGGAACAGCTTCAATGTAAAAGCTGTTCTGGCTATCAGAGTTGATCCGTGTTGGAGTTGTGTTACGAGTTGTTGAATAAAGCTGAATCTTTGCTGAATCACTCCCCGACGACTTTGTTAAGTGAGCGACTTAACATCCTGTCAGAGCTCTCTCAGCACCACCTACCTCACAGGCAGTGTTCCCTCTAAGCTGAGTTAGTGTGAGCCAGCTCACAGTTTTTTAGCCTCCGATTCACACAGTTTTGTCCTAGTTCAGGAAAGATGGCCCCAGAGCAAACTAATTTAAGCAGTAGCCAAACCGCTTGCTCACAACTTTAATGCCAGTAGCTCAGAAAGTAGAATTTTTGCTCACAAGACTCCACAGCTTAGAGGGAACATTGCTCACAGGGTGTCTGTTGTGGGGAGGGGAAGGGAAAGGAGTTTGTTAGCCGCTCTGAGACACCTTCGGGTAGTGAAGGGCGGGGTATAAATCCAATCTCTTCTTCTTCTCCTTCTGTTAACCTATTTCCCCCCCGCATTAGGACAGATGGGTATGTGGATAATTAATGTTGGGAAAGGCTGTGGCTCAGTGGCAGCGGCTCTGCTTGGCACTGACAAAGGTCCCAGGTTCAATTCCTGGCATCTCCAGTTATAAGGATCAGATAGGAGGTGATGGGAAAGACCTCCGCCTGAGACCCTGGAGAGCTGCTGCCAGTCTGAGTAGATAAGACTGACCTTGATGGACCGAGGGTCCGATTCAGCGTAAGGCAGCTTCGTGCGTCCAGTGTTTTCCACACAGTAAGGAGTGTGTGAAGGAGGAGGAGATTGGATTTCTACCCCGCCCTTTGCTACCCGAAGGCGTCTCAGAGCAGCTTACAACCTCCTTCCCCTCCCCACAACAGACACCCCTGTGAGGCAGAGGGGGCTGAGAGCTCTCTCTCGAGAACTGCCCTTGGGAGAAGAGCTCTGAGAGAACTTGTGACTGACCCAAGGTCACACCAGCAGCTGCATGTGGAGGAGTGGGGAATCAAACCCGGTTCTCCCAGATTAGAGTCCGCGCTCTTAACCACTACGCCATACTGGCTCTCCCCATTTGGCCCCTGAAATGCAGCTTAGGGGGAGGTTGGTGGACTCCGGGGAAACAGCACTAGGTGCAATACAGGGCATGGGAGGAAGAAGCAGGGCCGCTTCCAGATTTCAGTGGGCCGCTGGGCAGAGAATCCCTGGGGGGCCCCTCCCATTCTCTACTTGCCACTGTGCCCCCCCCCCACTCATGCCTCCCTGCTCACCTGCCGGCATCCCCCCCCCCCGCCTAGCCACCCATCCTTTCCCCCCACCCACTTGCTCATTTCCCAGTTCTCCCAAAGCTTGCACACCCTTCCCTGACGGTGCTGGACAGTGCGTGCAGCTGGGAGTGTGGCTGATGGTGAGGGTCATGACGAGCAGATAGGTGGTGGGAGGTGGCAGTGAGCCCCACGGGAAGACCTGGGCCAGTTTGGTGCAGTGGTTAAGTGCGCGGACTCTAATCTGGGAGAACCGGGTTTGATTCCCCACTCCTCCACTCGCACCTGGCTGGATGACTTTGGGCAAGCCATAGTTCTGATAAGAGCTGTCCTCGAAAAAGAGCAGTTTCTGTCAAGAGCTCTCTCAGCCCCACCTACCTCACAGGGTGCCTGTTGTGGGGAGGGGAAGGGAAAGGAGCTTGTAAACCACTCTGAGACACCTTTGGGTAGTGAAGGGCGGGGTATAAATCCAATCTCCTCTTCTTCAGTCAAGGTTCTCTCAGAGCTGTTCTCTCAAGGGCAGTCCTCAAGAGAGCTCTCTCAGCCCCCCCCCACCTCACAGGGTGTCTGTTGTGGGGAGGCTGCACGAGAGGGAAAGGAGTTTGTAAGCCGCTCTGAGACACCTTTGGGTAGTGAAGGGCGGGGTATAAATCCAATCTGTTCTTCTTCAGTCAAGGTTCTCTCAGAGCTGTTCTCTCAAGGGCAGTCCTCAAAAGAGCTCTCTCAGCCCCACCTACCTCACAGGGTGTCTGTTGTGGGGAGGGGAAGGAGCTTATAAGCCACTCTGAGACACCTTTGGGTACTGAAGGGCGGGGTATAAATCCAATCTGTTCTTCTTCTTAGCAGCTGCTTCAGCTCAGGGGACGCTGATGCCAGCCCTGGTGGCGGCGGTGGTGGCGGCGGGGAAGCTGGCCACCCTCCTCTCCCCTTGCATGTGGAAGCAGCCCTCCATTTGCGGAAGACCATACGGGATCCATTCTTTTGCTAGGGCTTTGCAAGTGGCTTTATGACTGTTTCCTCCAAGACACCCGGGGGCCATCCCTCTGTACCTGAAGACTTTGCTGCATCCCAAACAGCGTGTGTCCCCCTCCCATCCCCAGCCTGTTGACTGTGACAAGAGAAGCGAGGCAAGGACCAAAGGCAGAAGGGGGCAGAGTTTAAGTATGCAAAGGAAGTGGAGCACTGACTGTTTAGGGAAAAAAATAAGTAGGTTTATTACAGAAGAGCATACAGAGAGAGAAAGCCTAAGCTAACCAGTCTAATTGCTGTAAACGAAGCAAAGAGCGACGGGAAGCTCCGCGGGAGCAGGAAGTCTCCAGAAGAGCCAATCAGGAGACAGGAAGGACACAGTTTGAAATTGTGGGCAGTCCCTAGTCTAGCTATGCTAACTCGCAGTCCTTCAGCTGACCCCTTGAGGGTGATCCTCAGATCTTCTTCACAAGGCTGCACGAGAGGCCTTGCATATCCCAGCAGCCATACCCCTCTGAAGCACTCTGTCGACATTCTCTATCCAGAGGTCATTTCGGGGGAGATCGCGGGGGATCGCAGTTCCCCCGGGTGAGGTACGGGGGGCGGGGCACATGACAAAGCCCCGCCCCCTGCTTCCGGCCGCCCCGCTTCCGGCCCTCATTCAGCCAGGAGGAGGCAGGAGAAGAGGGAGGGTAAGTTGCTTCCTCCCTGCCTCTCCCCACCCCTGCCTGCCTGGGGCCAGGGAGGGCCTTCACGGGGCTTCCTTGCACTCCCGCCAGCCTTGCAGGTCCACCACCAGACCCCTCATGGGGCTCGGCAGTGGAGTTGCAAGGCCGGCGACGGCCGGGACCGTTGGGGGCGGGGTGTGTGGCCTTATGACACACTTCCGGTGATGTCAGGGGGGGTGGCATATGCTAATGAGTTATGCTAATGAGTTCCCCTAGCTGTTTTTCTACGAAACGACCCCTGTCTCCATCCATGTTCTTTTAACAAATGCCCAACAGGTCTACCTCGGATATTATAACTAGTATTATTTTGCTTTTATTGTGTGCTGAAACCATTCCTGAGGACTGCCGACTTCACGAATGACATTTGATCAACTTCACAAAGGTGCACTGTATAATGGAAAAAACCGTAAGATGTAACATCCCCTTTACTCCAGAATTGCTATTGTTAAATATTTTTCCGAAAGAATTTGAGGCAACTGACAGATACCTGATTGTATATATGTCCACGGCGGCAAGGAAGATATTGGAAGATTCAAGAAATACCAACCAAACAGGAATATATTAATAAACTCTTAGAAGCGGCGGAAATAGACAAATTAACTATGGAAATGAGAGGCACGAAGAAATGGACATTTCAAAAAACCTGGAAGAGACTATATGATTGGTATGATGTGAATGGAGCCAAAGATTAAGCTGATATGGTAAAAATAATAATTGAGTATGTAGTAATATATAATAGTGGAATTAGAGAATATTAACAAATATTAGTGAATAATGAAGCGATGGATTAGGTATAGTAACAAATTGTAATCAGTCTCTTGGTTATATGTTGTTTGATGTAGTTGTTTATGTCTGTGTTTAGGAATATAAGAAAACAATAAAGGTGTACCTTCAAGTACTTAAAAAAAAACACTTCACAAATGATATTCAGTCCTCGTAAACAGTCTGAAGGCGAGCAGGTAAGACCAACGCTCCTCTGTGACTTCCAGAGGCACGCTGCGTTATTGGAAAAGGCAGCATTACCTGAAAGCGCCAAGTCCGTGGGAAAAAATAATGAGGGGGTATCTTTCTCCAGGCTTGAATGCAGCATCCCATTTGGCAGGGCAGGTCATGGGGCCTAGATTAAAAGGGAACAGAGTTTGTTGGGGTTAATAGGAAGTCTGAGGATGACCTCGTGGAAGTAACAACACACCCTTGGTAAGCTTCTCCTTATCTAGCCTGAACTGATTCTCAGGGCTTGTTTCACATCTGAACTTGTGCCAGCTGTAGGGCTCCTGGGTCCCCGGGGGGGGGGCAGGGATTTGCCCGCTCTAGAAGCCCCCAACCTGCCGGCCTGGATCCAGCCATCGGAGGGAACCCCACCCCCAAAGTGCCAGAATCGGGCCAACATGACCAGTGCAATGACATCACCCAGAGGTGACGTCATCACACCAGGCATGTCGTTGGGGTACGCTCTAGCGTCTTGCATTAAAACTCTATGGTGCCATAGAGTTTTAAAGCTGAACGCTAGAGCGTCCCTCGACGGCATGCCCGGTGTGATGACGTCACTTCCGGGTGACGTCATTACGGCGTGCATCGCTCCTGGATATGGAGCTTCCAACCCTTGCTGGATGCCAGGTACGGACCTGGTAAGTGGTAACCCTAGCCAGCTGGGGTTTTTTGAGTGCTCTAAGCTAGACGGTCATGTGGGGGTGCTGACCTTATGTATTCCTGCACTAGAGCTGCCAACCTCCAGGTTGCACCACAAATAACACCCACCAAGGGAAGACCATCAACAATTCACAACTATACATGATCAAAACTGTATATGACATTCATTACAGAACAAAGATGGGTTAGTAGTCATAACCCAACAGAATGTACAAACACATATCCAACAGGTTGCTCATAGCAATTAAGCGTTATTTACAACAAGATCGTGTTCAGAACAAGCAGTAGGCTCCTCTGTAATTCCGTACATAGTGTCCATAGACCTCTAAACAGAAAGTAACTGCGGCAGAAGACGCCCGCCGTGGAAAGAATAACAGCCCTACGTCTCCCCCAGGTATAAATCAAGACGTTTCAATGAACTTCCACAGCAACTGGTAAAACGGAACCCAATTTCCAAAGTAACACAGGCACAGCTCAATAACTTCAATGGAACCCCCTAGGAGGCCGGCAACGGCAAACCACCTCTGAATGTCTCTTGCCTTGAAAATCCCACAAGGTTACCACAAGTCAGATGTGACTTGACGGCAAAAAAAGAAGTTATTTTAACACAATCCCTCAAGGATAAAGCTTTTGCTTCAGTTTCACTTTTCACTTGCTATATTGACGGCTGGCTGTTACTGGTTATGGCCTAGCAGGGCCCAGATCAGCACTTCACTTATTTAGGGTTGCTGGGTCCGACTCAGGGAATATCTGGGGACTTTGGGGGAGGAGCCAGAAGCATGGATGTGACATCACTATTTTGATGTCACTAGGGTTACCAGTTGAGGCTGACAAGCCAAAAGGGAGTTCTGGCCATCACATTTAAGCATTCCTTTGAAAAGCATTCCTTTTCAATGCTTTCCCTCCATTGGAAATAATAGAGAATGGGGCCGCCTTTTTTGGGGGGGCTCATAGAATTGGACATCCTGGTCCAATCTTTTTGAAACTTGGTGTATTTTTATTTCAGGAGAGGCACCACTAGTGATGCTGAAAATTTGGTGCCTTGACCTCAAAAACAGCTCCCTCAAGCTCCAGATACCCATGGATTGACTTATCCAGTATACCCTATGGGAACCAGTCTCCATAGAGTATAATGGAGAGCTCAACAGCCATCCCACCCCCCCACTTTCTGACAGCCCTGAAGCGGGAGGAGGGGCTCCAAACCAGGGGATCTCCTGACCCCAACTGGGGATTGGCAACCCTACCCGTGTTCTAATAAAGTTGTGTTCTGTTTTGTTACCGAGTGCTGTGAAGGTTTTACACTGGCGACGAGGATAAAACTAAAATGATTGTGGCAGTATACGGTGCCATGCGGGAATCTGATGGACTAAGTGAGTGGTCGGAGTATGTTGCAAAGCTATGCCCGGATAATAATGGGAACAAACAGCATGTTATGCAGAGCTCTGATTTGATCTCTTTACTTTTAAAAATGAGACTGAAATGATGGCTAATTTCCACAGGCAGTAGTGAGAGAGTCGTGGATTTCCTGCATCACATGTAGTTGGTTCACAATGTACCAAAGCTGCTACATATGAGTTCAAGTGGGTTGCTAATGGAAGCCAACCCAAACTGACAGCACCTTTTCCCGGACTCTGATTCTGGAAGGCTGCAAAGGGAGAAGATTCCACAACTGTGGGACAGTCTCTAATAATGTCTTGCTTAAACACCCTGATCAAATGGGGGTTCTGAGCCATAAAACCAGGTGCCACTGGACTCAAACTTTGTTCCGGCAAGCGTTTTAATAGCCCAGACCACACTGATCTTTCTAGCACTTTATAACAGATGGCCGCCACGCCTAAATTGTAATTTTAATTCTAAGAAGTTATATTTGGTTATTTTACTGATTGTAGTCTTTTAGATGTGAGATTGTATCAATTCTTATACTGGTTTTTAAACTACTGTAAGCCGCCCTGAGCCGCCTCGGCGGGAGGGCAGGGTAAAAGTCAAATAAATACATAAATAAATAAATAATAAATTCTACTATAGGCGGAAAGTAGCCTACAGCCTCCAAAAACACAAATCAGCCTTCATCCTGGTGCCTCTTCATCAGATTCAGTCTCATTAACAGTACCGACTGCAGTTGTACCTGGCCTTGGCAAGTAGCAGACACAGGAAATAAACTCACCTGCAACACCAGACCTAAAAGCAAAAGGCATGCTCTTCACAGAGGCTGATTGTATTAATAAAAACATACCAACATAGCGCGAAAGAACAAACTGTCCCATGGTCCGACACACATTCATGAAATCACACAGCCCATAATAGTATTCTTTCTTGGGAATCCATACGGTGTCTTCACAACTTGTGTCATTTTGGGATGGGTAATACAGTCGCAAAAAGCTTCCCTATAATTTAATAAGGGGGGAAAAATTAGTTATTGAAAAACTAATTTAAAATGGTGTAAAGGAAAACAGCACGGGGACAAGTAAGAAATACAGACTCAGGCTTGGATCCGGACTAACGTTCCCATGGGCACAATGATTTCCACCCATGGAGCATGAGTTTCTCGTCTTTTCTGTGCACTCTTCATTTATACCCCACTTTTTCCTCCCCTAGTGATTTCTAGTAGGCAATACCTCATAGGATTCTCGGTGTGTGTACCTTTAATTCCATCTACTCGGCCTCCCTTACTGAAGCGCTCCGATGGGACGTGTCGGATGGAGGAGACTCCATAGCCTGATTTACGGCCTAGCTGATCTGGTTTTTGAGAACACTGTATTTGTAATTTACAGTGCCGTCTGCTCTCAACTTATAGTTTCTTGGTTTTCGCTGTTTTAACCATTTGTCAAACCTATTTTTAAATAGTTTTTGTTTTATTTAATTTGCTCAGATACAAATAAGTAGCTTAAAGTTTTAGAACTGCTCATCCAAAACAAAGCAATTAAGCAATACCAAACTTTTGCAATACAGACCTGATCAAGTTTGTGCTTTCCAAAAGCAACTGTAAACATTACAACATTGTTCCAGATAACTGTGTATCTTAGTGTTATATAGAACATACACCAATTAAGTTGGACTTGACTGATTAACATGTGTAAATAGGTAATAAGAAGAGAGACCTATTAAGATTATTAACAGAATAAAACTTCAAATCCATTTATGTAATTGGGACCACTCAGAGGAGAGAGATTGCTGTTATGATAAGTATTCTAATACCGGGAACCATTTTCCCGTAAAGACATCTTGTGTGGGTTGTTGTGACAGATAATTCAGTTTGTTTGTTACTGCATCCATTAGGTAGTGATTCCATAATTTTCGATATCACACTTCTATATTTGGTGCTCTATAGTCCTTCCCAGGGCTATTTTTGGGCAGGAACGCACAGGAATGGAGTCCCGGCTGGCTCCCAAGTTGGCCACTCCCAGCAGGAACTCATTAGCATAACAGGCCAAACCCAACAGCAGAAACTCATTAGGATTGGCTACATTAGGGGTGCGTGGCCTAACATGCAAAGGAGTTCCTGCTACAAAAAAGCCCTGGGTTTTGACAACAGACAAGGTAAACAGAATAACAAGCAAAAGGTGGGTGTGGCTGGATAACCACACTTCTGGTAACATGGGGGTGCGGCCTAATGTGCTAATGAGCGGTGCTGTCAGGGGTGTGGCCCAATATGCTAATAGGTTTCTGCTGTTGGGTGTGGCCTATTATGCTAATGAGTTCCTGCTGGGCTTTTTCTACAAAAAGAGCCCTGGTCCTTCCAATAAGCTGCAGTCACTGTTTTAGCAGCATCCAACATGACCTATCGTACCTATTTTAATGGTTATTTGTGGAACTGCTGCTGTAATCCGCCCTGAGCCCGATTGCGGGGTGGGCAGACTTTAAGTTATATAGACAGACAGACAGACAGACAGACAGTACCTGAATGCCGGGACCAGTCATGAGGTCCGTACAGCCCACAGAATAAGGGCCTTTTCCTTCAGGGATCTTCTCCTGTTTGTTCCCCATTTTCTTGTGAGCTTCAGCCGACAAACCTGAAATGCGAGATATGCTGATATCAAAATGGTACCCTTACGCTGAACGGGAAACTCTGATCTTAGCTGGATCTCGTTCTCCACAATAACTGGTTAATTATTTTATTTGTTTTAACTTTTATCCCACCCTTTCCCAGCAATCCGGGTTCAGGGCAGTGAACGACATAAATACGAAACATAAATAAAAATACAAATATTCTATAGAACAATTTAACGCACCGGCACTCTGGTATGATGATCAGAGAGGTCGATAGCAGACCCGGTGAGTGAAACTGCCTCTAACGGAATGCCTGGAGGAATAATCTATGGGTGCCAGCCTCCAGGTGGGGCCTGGGGATCCCCCAGAATCATAGCTCATCTTCAGACTATAGAGGTCAGTTCCCCTGGAGAAAATGGATGCTTTGGAGGGTGGACTCTGTGGCACTGGACCCCACTGAGGGCTCCATCCCCCAAACCCCCGCCCCAGAGGCCCGTTTCCCGCCGCCAGCAGATCGGGCCCCGGGGGGGAACCCCACCCCCAAAGCACGCGACGTGTATGTCACCCGGAAGTGACGCGACCACGCTGGGGGCCAGGCCACGGTCATCCGAGGAAAACTCTATGGTTTTCCCTCGGATGGTCGTGGCCCCACCCCAGCGTGCCCGGCGTGGTCGTGTCACTTCCGGTTGATGTGGTTGCGGTGCGCATGCACTCCCGGAACGGCACTGGAGTCCCCTGCTACAGTGCCACTCGGACTTGGGAACCCTAGACAGGGCATCCCACCAGGTTGGGTATACAATTGAAAAAGCCCTCATTCTGGAGCTGCCTGTCTAAATGGCATTTAATTTATATTCGAAATATCACTTCAGTCTTGTTCCATCTGCAATGGCTCCCAATTTGATTTCAGGCCCATTTGAAGGTGCTGGCAGTGGCCTTTACAGCCCTATACCTGTGGCCAGTTAGAACCGCCTACTCCCATACAATGTTCCCTCTAAGCTGAGTTAGTGTGAGCTAGCTCATGGTTTTTTAGCCTCCGGCTCACACTTTTTGTCTTAGCTCAGGAAGGACGGCTCCAGAGCAAACTAATTGATGGAGGAGCCAAATCACTCGCTCACAACTGTGATGCCAGCAGCTCACAAAGTAGAATTTTTGCTTACAAGACTCCACAGCTTAGAGGGAGCATTGAATTAGGAAACTACCTGTCCACTCCAGTCATCTCCACAGGTTCTGTTTTGTGTGCCCCCACCATCTGAGACAGGGCCTTCTCGGTCATGGCACCAAAACTTTGGAAGTCCCTCCTCAGGGAGCTCCTCCTGTCTCCCTCTATTGTTGCCTTTCACCAGTGGATGAAGACTTGCTTGTTTTGTTTGGGGTCTGTCCACCAATGCTCCCTCTAAGCCATGGAGTCTTGTGAGCAAAAGTTCTACGTTGTGAGCTGCTGGCCTTAAAGCTGTGAGCGAGCCATTTGGCTGCTGCATAAGTTAGTTCGCTCTGGAGCCATCCCTTCCTGAGCTGAGGCAAAAATGTGTGAGCCGGAGGCTAAAGAACTGTGAGCTAGCTCACACTAACTCAGCTTAGAGGGAACATTGCACGGTGTCCACTAACTGTTATTGGCCTTCTTCCCTAGTTGTGTTATGTGCATTGGTATGTTTCGTTGAATAATTTAAATGTGTTATGCACGTGTTTGTTTCATCTGGCATACACCCAGTAACGGTTACTATCCTCCTCCTGGTGTTTTATGTGTTTTTAACTGAATTATTTTACAGTTCTAAATAGATCAAGATGGGTAGCTGTGGTTGTCTGTCTGCAGCAGTAGAAAAGAGCAAGAGTCCAGCAGCACCTTAAAGATTCACAAAATATGCGGCAGGGGAGGAGCTTTCATGAGTCACGGCTCACTTCTTCAGATACTAGGGTTGCCAAGTTGATTTTCCCTACCGGCGGGGGAGCGTCGCTGGGCTCCGGGAGCTCTCCGTTGGTGTGCGTGCCCCGCCAGCACGTCACCGGAAGTGACGCATGACGTTGAACACATTGAGGGCGTGGCCCCGATCGTCGGAGGGAAAACCATAGAATTTTCCCTTCGACAATCGGGGCCACGCCCCCAACGTGATCGACGTGGTTGCGTCACCTCTGGTGACGCAGCCATGCTGCGCTTCGGCGGGCGGAGTTCCCCCCGGGGCCCGATTCCACAGCGGCGGAAATCGGGCATCCGAAGCAGGGGTTTACCCGCCACCCGCCCCCACTTGGCAGCCCCATCAGATATAGCTAGAATGGGATAGATCAAGATGGGTAGCCGTGTTTGTATGGAGACAGGGGCAGATTAACCATTAAGCAGACCAAGCACGTGCTTAAGGCACCAGGGCCAAAGGGGGCACCACAAAGTTGGGAAAAGAGTGAAAAGAAAAAGAATGAAGATTTGTAAAAAAAAAAAAAATTGATAAAACTAGTGCACATTGATCATGGTACACCCTAGAGTTATCTTCCATTTTTTGTTGGGAAGCTGCAGTGTCATAGGGTATGACACCAAGATTGGGGGCACCAAGATTGGTCAGTGCTTAGGGCACCAGTGAGCCTTAATCTGCCCCTGCACGGAGCAGCAGAAAAGTACAAGAGTCCATCAGCACCTTAAAGACTAAACAAAGTTTGTGGCCGGGGAGGAGCTTTCCTGAGTCACTGACGTTCTGAAGAAGTGAGCGGTGACTCACGAAAGCTCACACCCTGCCCCATAGTTTTAAATGTTTAGTGGCTCAAATATCTAAATATTTCTTCTGTTTTGGGGTTGGCGCCTGAGGGGGGGCAGGGTTTGGAGCACCGTGCCAGAGTCCACCTTCCAAAGCAGCCGGTTTTCTCCAGGTGAAATGATCTCCGTCACCTGGGGATTCAGTTGTAATAGCGGAAGATTTCCAGCCACCACCTGGAGGTTGCCAATGAAATAAACAACACCAGGCAAAGACTAACCAGTAGCATATACATAAACCCTCATGTGAAAACACTGGGACTTGTCTCCAATGTTCCCTCTAAGCTGAGGAGTCTTGTGAGCAAAAATTCTGCTTTGTGAGCTACTGGCATGAAAGTTGTGAGCGAGCGATTTGACTACTGCATAAATCAGTTGGCTCTGGAGCCAGTCTTTCTTGAGCTGAGATAAAAATGTGTGAGCCGGAGGCTAAAAATCTGTGAGCTAGCTCACACTAACTCAGCTTAGAGGGAACACTGCTTGTCTCCTGTATTGTAATTATCTCCTGCAATAGTTCTTACAAAAAGGTCAATCGCAAAATCATACGCACCAGCAAATGTCCGCACACAAACTATATCTAAGCAATCGTGTCTATCCCAACAAGGTGGATAAAATACATTCTCTTTATGTAGACCAGAAAAGTGGAACAGATACGGTCTATTTCGTCAAAAGACAAATAGTCGCTTAGAATTGATTTTGGGATTTCAAAGCATAAAGTCTGTTGCATATAAAGATAAATAGTCGCTTTCAGGGCTTTTTTTGTAGAAAAAGCCCAGCAGGAACTCATTAGCATAATAGGCCACACCCAACAGCAGAAACTCATTAGCCTATTAGGCCACACCCCTGACAGCACAGCTCATTGGCCTATTAGGCCACAGCCCCATGTTACCAGAAGTGTGGTCATCCACCCACACCCACCTTTCCCTTCTTATTCTGTTTACCTTGCTTGTTGTCAAAACCCAGGGCTTTTTTGTAGCAGGAACTCCTTTGCATGTTAGGCCACACACCCCCTAAGGTAGCCAATCCTAATGAGTTTCTGCTGTTGGGTGTGGCCTATTATGCTAATGAGTTCCTGCTGGGCGTGGCCAACTCAGGAGCCAGCCGGAGCTCCGTTCCTCTGCGTTCCTGCCCCAAAATAGCCCTGGTCGCTTTGACTTGACTCGACGACTTGAGTGCCCGGCTGAAGCCTGTTTCATCTAAAACTTCCTCAAGAGTCATAAGCTTCTCCGTTTTGTTGAGACTCAATCTGGAACGGACAATCAAATTACATAGCAATACATCCCCGTAACTGCAAGAGTTCACCGGCATACTGTTAAGTATGCCCCCGCCCGTTCGCGGGGCGGGCGGGGTATAAATATAATAAAATTATAAAACAAGTAGACGTACCCAAATTCCACTATGGAACAAAGGAATTTTTTTTTTAATGAGTAACCAAACCTTATGCCTTAAGGCAACTGGCAATGTGGTTCTCAGACCTTTGCAAACTCCCCCCTCTCTAAAAACCCTTTTCTCAAGGTTAATCTCTTGCAGCTGCGTTCACACACATTAATTGCAAGTAGATAAATAGGTACCACTTCGGTGGGAAGGTCACAGCATTCCGTGCGCCTTGGTGTTTAGTCATGCCGGCCACATGACCTCGGAAACGTCTTCGGACAGCGCTGGCTCTTCGGCTTTGAAACGGAGATGAGCACCGCAACCCTAGAGTCGGACTCGACTGGCTTTCGAGTGAGGGAACCTTTACCTTTTTTACACACATACATTTGCAGACATCCATCATATCCAGGTCTTTTGTACTAAAATTGTACTGATCTACAATTAATGCTTATTCCGTTGGCAAGAGAGAAGAAACGGTCCCAGGTAGCATGAAACGTTATCGTACCACTGAGCAAGGACAGACAGCACATGATGCAGTAGACATTACGGATGATCTTTCGCCATGGAGCATCACCAGACATTCCAAACAAACAAAAAACACAGCGCTGGTGGGATACAGGGCTGGGTCTCATCCTCTTATGGGTTGGTAACTGATTTCAAAAAAAAAAAAAAGTAAGCAGAAGGTAAACAGGCAGGCCTTCCTACAGTGGGGAATAAGACGTGGAGCCCTCCAAAGATTTATGTTAGTTAGCCTTCGGTGTGCCTGGCCAGTGGGCTTGTGCATCTGGATCCCGGGGGGAGGTTTAACTCAGAGCTCCCACTCGTCTTTGGAACCATAGCAAACCTGCAGACTCACACACATACACAGAGCTCACATCTTTTTTCGTTTTGCCATCAAGAATTAGATAAGCATATGTGAAGGTTGATGGGTTCACGACACAAAGAAGACAAGACACAAACAGCTCTGCAGAAAAAACTTTCTCTCCTCCCTGGAGAAGCAGGCTTTATTAGTTTTTCTTCACTCCTTCCCCCTCCCCTATACATGCAAGTCACCCCACTATGAGAACAGACTTCAGGAATGTGTTTGTGCAGACAGCCTCTCTCTTATCTTTCCGTGCTTCTTTGCCAAGTTACTTCTTATTATGAAGTCAGCAGATGTTACCTTGTTCACTTCTCCACTCGGTTTCACAATCTCCAGGCAGGAGAAGTGAATCTCTGGGTTTGCCACGCAGAGAACACTGTTCCTACACATATGGCGCAGAGGTCCATCAGTGGCTATTATAGGGTTGCCAGCCTCCAGGTGGGGCGTGGGGATCTCTGGCTTTTACAACTGATCTCCAGCTGACAGAGATCAGCTCCCCTGGAGAAAGCGGCTGCTTTGAAGGGGGGGCTGTGGCTTTCTACCATGCGGTGGCCCCTCCCCAAACCCCGCCCTCCCCTGGCTCCACCCCCAAAGTCTCCAGGTGTTTTCCAACCCAGACCTGGCAACCCTAGGCTATTAGCCACAAGGTATAGACAGGAACTTTCGGTCTGGGGCAAGGGATGCTCTGTATTCTTGGTGCTGGGGGGGGGGGCAACAGTGGGAAGGCTTCTAGTGTCCTGGCTCCACTGATGGCGCCTGGTATTTTTGGCCACTGTGTGACAAGAGTGTTGGACTAGATGGGCCATTTGGCCTGATCCAACATTGGCATCTCTTATGTTCTTATGTTCCTAAGGTTGCTAGGTCCCCTTTGGCCACCTGCAGGGCAGGGCGAGGGATGGGTTGCCAGATCCAGGTTGGGAAACTCTTGGAAGATTTGGGGTCGGAGCCTGGGAAAGACCTCAGTGGGGTACCACGGCACACAGGCCACCCTCCAAAGCATCCATTTTCTCAATGGGAACTATAGTCTGGAGATGAGCTGTAATTCTGGGGGATCCCCAGGTCCCACCTGGCATCCCTCGCAAGGCAAGAGGTGGTTTGCCACTGCCTGGCTCTGCATAGGAGCCCTGGGCTTCCGGGGGTGGCTAACCATTTCTTTTTTATTTATTTAATTTATATCCCGCCTCTCTCGCCAATGGGACCCTAAGGTGGCTTGCATCGATCTCCTCTCTTCCGTTTACCTTCCCAGCGTCCCTGTGAGGTAGGTTAGGCCGAGGGTGTGTGGCTGGCCCAGCGAGTATCCATGGCAGAGTGGAGATTCGAACCTGAGGTTGCCCAGCTCCTAGTCGGACACTTGAACCACTACACCAGGCTGGCCGGCCCTACTTAGCTTCCACGATCTGACATTAGGAGGAACCGCCTGACAATCAGAGCGGTTCCTCGATGGAACAGGCTTCCTCGGGAGGTGGTGGGCTCTCCTCCTTTGGAGGTTTTCAAGCAGAGGCTGGATGGCCCTCTGACAGCCATGCTGATTCTGTGAACTCAGGCAGTTCACGAGAAGGGAAGGCAGGCGGGGTTGCATCCGGGCTTAGTTCTTGTGGCCCTTTCTGACACGCCCAGGAAAATGCCGATCGGCCACTCTGGGGTCAGGCAGCAATTCTTCTTCAGGCCAGTTTGCCTGGGGAACCCTGGAGATTTTTTGCCACTTTGTGGGGGGAGCAGAGGTCACTGGGTGTGTGTGTGTGCAAGGGGGCGGGTGGTGTTTGTGAATTTCCTGAATTGTGCAGGGGGTTGGACTGGAGGGAGGTCCCTTCCAACTCTGTGATTCGATGGAACTGGGCTCGCCTTGGCTCCGCAAGCCATCGCTTCCTATCCCTGCAGGTTGCTTGCGATGCTCCCTCTAAGCCAGGGGTGGCCAAGCTTGCTCAACGGAAGAGCCACATAGAATAAACGTCAGATGTTTGAGAGCCGCAAGACATGGACAAATGTTACACACGTTTTTACTGGGAAATATGCACATTTGCTTTTTTTTATTAACATTAAACGAGACTGTCAAAAATAATAACAAAAGCAGTAAAAGCAGTGTTGTATAAGGTAATGTGAACCACTCAGAGCCCTCAGGGGGTGAGCGGTATACAAATGGAATGTAGTAGTAGTAGTAGTAGTAATAATAATAATAATAGCAGGTAGTGATGATGATATTTAATTGTTCAATGATATTTGTTTGCTAATGATATTGCGCTTCCCCGGCTGCCCTGCCGGGAGCTGCACCACATGTCCCCCCCATGGCTGAAAGCGCTCCATGGCGCTCCCGAGCCACAGTTTGCCCCCCCCCCCAAAGCTGTGGGGGTCTTCTGAGCAAAAATCCTGCTTTGTGAGCTTCTGGCGTTAAAGTTGTGAGCAAATGATTTGGCTCCTCCATCAATCAGTTTGCTCTGCAGCCGTCCTTTCCTAAGCGAAGACAAAAATCCGTGAGCCGGAGGCTAAAAAACTGTGGGCTAGCTCACAGTAACTCAGCTTAAAGGAAACACCAGTTGCTTGTAGCCGGGAGTCATTTCCTGCCGGAGCTCACAGGAGCTTCAGTAAGGAGCCCAGGGGGTGGGCACACGGAGCAAGCCCCGCCCCCTGCTCCCAACAGCCCGCAGTCGGACCACAGGGAGCAAGAAGCAACCAGGTAAGTTGTAGAGCCCCTCCCCTTTCAGGTACAAGCTCTCCCTCCTCTGTGAGGGCAGATCTGCAGTCCCCCCCCCCCAATAGCTAGCAATCCAAAACAGTCCAGTGGAGCCTGAGTCCTGGGGGGGCAGATTTGCAGCCCCCCCCCCCCAAATAGCTAGCAATCCAAAACAGTCCAGTGGCACCTTTAAGACCAAGTTTTATTCAGGTACAAGCTCTCCCTCCTCTGCTAAGGCAGATCGGCACACCCCCCCCCAAATAGCTAGCAATCCAAAACAGTCCCGTGGCCCCTTTAAAGCCAAGTTTTATTCAGGTACAAGCTCTCCCTCCTCTGCGAGGGCAGATCTGCAGTCCCCCCC